AATGGAAGTAGTGTGTGTGTGTGTGTGTGTGTGTGTGTGTGTGTGTGTGTGTGTGTGTGTGTGTGTATGTGTTGTGTGTATGTGTATGTGTATGTGTATGTGTATGTATGTGTGTGCATGTGCGTGTGTGTATGTGTGTGTGTCTGTGTGAGTGTACCTGTCTTTTTTTTGATGTAATCCTTATCACTATCATCATGAGCACATGCATCCAAATCTTCAATGGTTATCAATATTATCAACTATCAACTTCTGTAGCATTTCTTTTTCCAGAAAAAAAACGAAACGAAACTTAATGTAATGCTAACAGTCTTATTTTTGTTAATTATTTGGAATAAATTATTGTAAATTATCTTTAGAAAAAAAGAAATATCAATGGAAAAGCGTTTGCTCAACTGATTAAATCAACTTATTTGATCAAATACTATTCAATTATCATTAAGCCTTCAGCTTAATTTTATCAAAATTAACTTTTTCCATACACCTCAGATATAAAATATGTAATTTTAGGATTCTTTGAAATTTCTTGATATAATTCCTAGCAAAAAAAAAGTTAATATTTCTTATTGTGTCGTAATCTTTGTATTTATCACAATGTGGAAATAGTAGCAGTTGAAAAAAATTAGAAATATCACAATGGCTACGACATTTACTTTCTAAATCAGATCTTAAATAAGCCAAAAAAAAAAAAAACATTGCTATTGTTATGCTTATTAAATTGTTAATAACTTGGAAATAAAATTAAGATTAAAAATAACAGCATATTGATACATTGACAGCTTATAGCGTATACATTATCGATATCGAATTAACTATGCAAATTTTGCTGGCAAACTTTTAGCAAACTATTTATTTGCTATATTTTTTTTTCTCCAATATACTTTAATCGATAAACGGATAAATGAGCTAGAGATTAATTATGAGGAATTAAGCAAGAGAAAAAAGTAATCGACATTATAATGATAATCTAGTTGATGATTATGTAAGATTATGTTTCTGATATTAAATGTTTCTGATGATTGTCGCAATTTTTTCAAATGAATCTTAAAATTTGTGGAATAGAAAGAGTGAAAAATTAATTTTAAGTTATCAATTTACTATTATGAATGAATTAAGCAGAGTTTATTTATCTGATGTTAAAAAAAAAAGTCAACGAGCAATGATGTATAGAAATAAAAAAGAAAATTTATATAAAAATAAAAATAAGAAATAAGAAGAAAAATTCAACAAACAATGAATAAAAAATAAAAATAATTTTATCAAAACGAATGAAACATTTTCAATGTTTCAAAACGACTTCTATCATTGTTGCAAAATTATGAAATAAGAGAAGCATTTCATACTAAAATTAACGAAGAACAAACGTTGTAATATTTACATCGATTAGATGAAGAAATTCATCAATCAATAAATCCTATTGAAAATAATGCAATTTGATGCAAAAAAAAAAAAAAAAAAAAAAAAAAAGAAATTACGTGACAATATCTTGGAAGGAAGCAGTGAAAATTACAATTTGGTTAAAACAAAAAATTCTTAGTTCTTGAATAAATAATGACAAGTAATTTCTTCTTTT